GGGGGGGGGGGGGGGGGGGGGGGGGGAGTGCCACCCCAGCTGCCCATGCTGGCACCTTCCTCAGGTTGGGGCAGATGCCTCCCTTGCCTAGGGGGGGTGAAATCCTGACTCCTGTCCAACAGGAAGTGGGGGATCTTCAGGGGAGCAGCATAGGGGCCCCTGGCACAAGCTGGATCGGCATTGTCACAGTCAAGACCTGTGGGAAGACAAGAAGGGAGATAGGGGTCAGGGCAGTGGGGGAAGGGATCACAGCCAGGAGGGGATGCAGCTTAAAGTGGGGTGGAGTCACAGGGTGAGGGAAGGGTCACTGTGGAGCAAATGTGGTAAAGTCTACCTGTGGGAGGGATCACAGCACTAGGGATAGGGCTATAACCCAGTGGGTAGAGCCAGAACACATGGTAAGAAAGGGGTGGAGACAGCAGAAGAGGTGGAGTCAGAAAAAGGAAGAGCACCCCATTGGAGGAGACGGTCACAGCCAGGGGCAGAACCACCAGAGGGAAGAGTCAAATGGGGCAAAGAAAATGGGGGCCAAAGTGGAGTAAAAGCCCTGCCTGGGGGAGAGGCAGGGGACAGAATCAGACTGTGGGGGTGGAACCAATCCCCAGGGAAACTGAGTCAGAACTGAGGGAGTGGGGCTGGCTGCAAATGTAAAGCCCTGCAGCCTGGGGGTGGGGTTTAGGTGCAGAAGGAGAGGAGCCACAGCCTGGGGGGAGCAGAGATGGAGGTCACTGAGGAAGGCGGTCTGTAGGGGAGGGGGAAAAGCAGGGCTTTCCAGATGGACAGAGCTCCCCAAGGCCCTGGCCCTGGCACACCTTGGTGCCCCTGTGGAACTGGGCACGGCTCCTCTCGGGCTTGATGTGGTGGGAGATGTAGATATCAAGGAGGTAGGGCACCTGCCCACCCTCCAGCACGATCCGGTCCTCCCCCAGCTCCAGGGACAGCTCCAGTGCCGAGGCCTGGGGAGGGGAGGAGAGAGGTGAGACCAGCCAGGACTCCTTTCAGGCCCCAT